ATCCCTTACTCATAAAACCAGTAGAAAAACAAGCACAATCAGCTCAAAGCAGCCGAAAAAGGGGAGCAGTCCCCAAAATCAAGCAAACACCTTACTAAGCCTTAAAAACAAGGCATCAAAAGCACGCTAGCATTTTGTTAAATAAAAAATCAGACTTCCAGGATACACGCTGAAAATTCTATTAAGAAGAGTCAGGGAACCGAATCCCCCATACTAACCCAGCTAGGGTTGAAGCAATCAATCAACAGATGATAATACACGACACCATGTGTAAATGTGTGTTTGTGTATAGATAGATAGATAGATAGAGAGAGAGAGAGAGAGAGAGAGAGAGAGAGAGAGAAGAGAGAGACTTGTTGCCACCGTCTTCGCTAATGCGATTCCCAAACTGGATATGGCGGCCAGCATAAAGGCCGCGTTTGGCTCTGCTCATAACGACCTTGCTGTCAGGTATGTACTTCTTGAGTGATTCCTTAACTCCCGGTGCTAAGTTTTCCTCTCCAACCTTCTTCATCAGCTTCTTCATCATCTCCTTCCCTCTAAACGCCATCTTCCTTCTTTGGTTCTCTTCAATAGAAGAAAAAATAAAAAACTTAATACGCTTCGTATTGTCTCTCTATTTCAACGTGTGTTAAAAGGGAGTTCAATTACTTTCATTTGTTCATCGTTCAAAACAATACAATGTACATCATAAAGAAAAGGCGAACACATGTTAAACTCAGGCAAAGAAAAAGCAGATATGAATTGACAGAAAAACTAAATCTGCAAAAACCTAAGAAATTAGGAAAATGGATGCAACCGAATGTAACAATTGAAGATGAGCTCACCACTGAGCTTAAGGTGTCGGATTCCCTGTTCGTACCAGGTGTGGCAGCAGGCGGCTGCAATTAGGCTGTCCACAACTATCGGGAGCTGAGAGAGTAGTGCGGCGATCAGCCGGTTCAAGTGCAACTGTGTTGTGCTACTGCGATTGGAGACAGAGAGGAGTTGATAATAGTCTGTGCTAAGCCCGTATATTTGTCAATAGTACAAGAGATAAGAGAAATATTCAATGGAGAGAAGAGAGGCAAAACGTTCCGTCCCCTCTGGTTAGGGCACCAGATCGAGAGTCGAGAGAAGATACAGTGACTGTGAATAGTAATCTTGGGATTTTCTTTTTTCGTTTTTTTTTATTTTATAATTTTTATTTAATTTAAATTTAATTTAACGCGCTGGGCGCTGTGTCAATTGGGTTTTATTTTTTAAGGGCCTATTAGGTTTGAGCAAATCATAAATTGAAAGTTTACCAACCTGGGCTAGTTATTGACAAAAAGGAAGTGGAACATAGGAATTTTTTAAAAAAATAAATAAATAAATTTGGGTTCAACAAAAACTAAATTCATTATTTCGGTTTTTTTAATCTTTTATTATTATTTCAATTAATAAAATTTAACCATTCGTTAATTAATTTATTAAAATTTAATCTAATTTAGTATCTACTTAATCATAATTGTATTGGACTAATGATCATATTAATGCTCATATATGTGACCGATGATGATATTTAATTGGCTACCTAATTCACTTGAACAAAAAGCTGTCAAGCTCTTTGTATCAGTGTGATTCGTTTGTTTGTCTTTGACAAGTACGTTTGCGGCAAACCCTAAATTAATATACTGATAATTTTTTAAGATATTTTCAATTATATATGCAGTTTTTTTTATATTAATACTTAATAATTTTTAATCATATTTTTATTATTACCTAATTTTATTATCCTTGTATGTCC